CTTGTTGTAATAAATTTTACGAGGCCTTATACGGTGTAAACAATTTTATTCATTTTGACGACGTTTCGATACATTGAGTATCCTCTTCAGGTCAAATAATTGAAAATAAAAAACAAACAGTCGTTCAGTCATTTCATCAAAAAAATAATAATAATAAATTAATGGAAACCCTCTTTATGAGGTGTTTCTGTTTTCTTTTGTTTTTTCGATGAAATGACTGAACGACTGTTTGTTTTTTATTTTCAATTATTTGACCTGAAGAGGATACTCAATGTATCGAAACGTCGTCAAAATAAATAAAATTGTTTAAACCGCATAAGGCCTCGTAAAATTTATTACAACAAAATAAATGAAAACGGATGTAAAATTTATCAAGGAATATAAATTCTTAGTCCATCATAATACGTACAAATCCAATGACCCCTCTTATTATACACACTAAATAGTATTTGAATATGTTTTTCGCCTACTCCAATAGGTCTAATATATTCAAGCAGATCTTCATTTACAAATAAAGTACTTTGCATTCTAAACATAGAATTTGATTCTCTTTCCAAAATTTTTCCCAATTCATAAATATGATTATCACTTAACATTTTTTTATTATTAAGTATTTCTCTATATTCTCTAGCACTTAAATTAACATGGCCTTCTATTCTCGACATTTTTTAATCAATATTTTCTTCTTAATCTAATTTTAAGTCCAATTTGTGGGTTTTGATAATGATAATTACGTTTTCCCAATTTATATTTTCTACATCACAATTTCATCAATTCTTACAAAATCATTGTCTCCTATATCAATAATACAAACCAACCAATATTTAACTCATAAAACAATATTCAAGATTTCAACTAATAAAGTGTATTTACTCCATTTCAAATAAGCCACATTCCAATTTTATCCAATATTTAATTATTTAACCAACATATCAATATTTAACCAATCAAATCATATTTAACCCATAAAACAATGTTTTTGAATTCAACAACCAATATTCTATTTAATTCATTTTCAATATGTCAAATTCCAATTTTATTCAATATACATATCCAATAAGCCCTAAATTCAATTCTATCCAATATATATTGTATTTAATATATTTCAAATTCGTCAAATTCGTCAAATTCCAAATTCATCCAATTTACATATCCAATAAGCCTAAATTTAATATTATCCAATATATTCTATTTAATATATTTCAAATTCGTCAAATTCCAATTTTATCCAATATATTTTCTTTATTCCATTTCAAATACGTCAAATTCCAATTTCATTCAATATATTTCTCTTTAATCCATTTTAAATGCATCAAATTCTAATTACATCCAATATTTATATTTCTCTTTAATCCATTTTAAATTTTAAATACTTTAAATTCCAATTTCATCCAATATCCAAATTTCAATTTTATCTAATATTTCTTTTCTTATCTTTTATTTCATCCAATATTCAAATTTCAATTTTATCCAATATTTCTTTTCTTATCTTTTATTTCATTCAATATCCAAATATCAATTCTATCCAATATTTCTTTTCTTATCTTTTATTTCATTCAATATCCAAATTTCAATTTTATCCAATATTTCTTTTCTTATCTTTTATTTCATCCAATATCCAAATTTCAATTTTATCCAATATTTCTTTTCTTATCTTTTAAATAAAAAAAATCAAATGTTATTCAAAACAGAAAAAATATCAAATTTTATTCAAAACAGAAAAAAAATGTCAATTTCTGTATCCTTTAAATTCAAAATTAAAGAAACTATATCAAATGATAATATAATATTTAAAAAAATATAACTATACCTCTCACAAAACACTTTAATTAACTCTCTACAAATTGTAGAGAAATGATACAAAAAAAAGAAAAGAAAATATCTAATGTTATCCAAAATAAAAAAAAGTATATCAAATAGTAATGTGATATATTCAAAAAATGAATATACCACTCACGAAGCACGATTGTTAACTCTCTACACTACATACAAGGAGTGATGTCCAAGTTAGTCCCGTGAGGGAAAAAAGCCTTCCCCCACCATACGGCACACCAAGTCAAAACTGAGTCCTGAGCAACCCTCACAGTGGGGATCGCTCGGACCCTTAAACCCTCATTAAGGAAAACTGTTAATGACTTTATCTATAAAAATACAAATTTTTTAAAAAGTAACATTTTTTATTTTTCATTAACATATTTAAATTCCTTACTTTCTTACGATTCTATACATATGTTGTTTACCAAAAAATGTTAAAATTAAAAAAATTTATTATTTTTCCAGATACATAGAATGAACCAGAAAAAGTCATTAGCAGTTTTTCCTAATGAGGGTTTGAGGGTCCAAGCGACCCCCGCTGTGAAGGTTGCTCGGGACTCAATTCCAAGTAGCCCTCGCAGCGGGGGGCGTTTTGGTCCCTCTAACGGCGAACAGACATACTAAAAGCGAACAGACAAAATATATATATGCAAACGGAATACGTACTTTAATATTGTTAATTCTCTTTAATTTAATGTCCAAAAGAAAAAAGGAATCTGTCCTGAAATATTCTGAAATTTAAATAATAAAACGCCCTGTAATTAAAATTATTATTTAATAAAATCTGTTTTATTAAATAAATCAATGTTTACAGTTTAAGTACAAAATGCAGTAAATATGATTTTATATATATATATATATATATATATATATATATATATATATATATATATATATATGTAAAAATATAAAATTGTCCTTCGATTAAGAAAAAGGGTCTGTGAAAAGTAAACAAAAACAAAAAAAAAGAATATATATATATATATATATATATATATATATATTGGATTAATTTCTAATGACATTTGCAGCAGTTGTTCCCTCATGTTGAATACATGGGAAAAGGGTAAAAATATAAAGTATAAATTCCCTACTGTTTGGCTAAAACCTAAAAATTGCAAGGATTGCTACTTTTGTAACACGAATCTTAAAGGGATTAACAGCAGGAAGGAAAAAGCAATTCGTTATCCTGAAACAGCTTCAGTAGTTTACCCGGTATTAAGAAATATAAGCATTGATAATGTTGAAGACAATAAAGATTTTGATTTGAATTCTGAAACTGGCAATGATAATGACAAAGGCGATAATACTACTATTAGTGATTTTGATAATGATGATGATGATGATGATGATGATGATGATGATGATGATGATGATGATGATGATGATGATGATGATGATGATGATGATAGTAATGAAGATGTCAGTGAAGATGAGGATAATCCATTTGAAACAAAAGTCAAAATTCCTAAAGTTTGGACACAGGAGAAGCTAAATGACGTGATAAGAAATCTGGACTGTCAAAAGATGGAGCTGAGTATTTAGCAGCTACGATGAAACAGAACAATTTGCTTGCAAGTAATGTCACGTCATCTACATATCGAAACAGGGAAAAACAATATACCGAATTTTACGAAGAAGATGAAGATCATTCGATTGTTTATTGTCATGATGTAATGGGACTAATGAATAAATTAAAGACTAACGTTTACAAAAATGATGAATGGCGACTGTTTATAGATTCCTCCAAGCGGTGTCTTAAGGCTGTTCTTTTACACAATACAAATGTGTATGTGCCAGTTCCAGTAGCACATTCAGTAATTTTGAAAGAAAATTATGAAAACTTGTTTTAGAAAAAATTAAGTGTAAGGATCACAACTGGCAAGTTTGCGGAGATCTGAAAACTATAACGATGTTGCTTGGACAACAAAGCGGATTTACCAAATTTCAGTGTTTCTTATGTGAATAGGACAGCAGAGATAGAGCGAATCATTACACACGTAAAATATGGCTAAAGCGAACTGTGTTAGAACCCGGAATAAAAATATTGTAAACAAACCGTTAGTTGATCGGAAAAAAGTTTTAATTCTACAATTGCATGTTAAACTCGGAGCAATGAAGCAATTTGTAAAAGCCTTGGACAAAAATGGTAAATGTTTTGAGTATTTGGTGGAGAAGTTTTCGAAACTGTTTGACGCTAAAATCAAAGAAGGCGTGTTCGATGGGCCTCAGATACGTAAGTTGTTATATGACGAAAAATTTGTACAAACGATGAAACTTAAAGAAAAAGCAGCCTGGACAAGTTCTAAAGAAATTTGCTTGGAATTTCTAGGAAATAAAAAAAGCCACATATATAGACAAATTGTAGGAAAAATGGTAGAGAATTTTAAAAAGCTGGGATGTTTGACGAGTTATAAAATTCACTTTTTGAATTCACATTAGGATCAAATTCCTGAAAATCTTGGTGATTTCAGCGAGGAACAAGGCGAGAGATTTCACCAAGATTTAAAGGATATGGAGAAACATTATCAAGGGAAATGGAGTAAGAATATGTTAAGACTATTGTTGGACGCTAAAAAGAGATATACCAGAGACTAAAACTTCAAAGAAGAGAAAAAGAGCTCCTCTCCGGAGATAATTTGAAACCAAGAGGGTAAGGTACTTAAGACATAGAAATTAAGAAATATGTTTATATCTGGATGTCAGATTCGTAATCAGCGACCCCACAAACCCCCGAGTAACAAGTTTAAAGAAAATCTGAACATTTTTTTTAAATCCACCATTATAGATCCGACATTTTCATTTTTTTATATATTCAATTCTTATGTTATTAAAGTCACTGAATTCAAAAAAACATTCATCAGAAGAAGCATAAATTCAGCTTTATTTATAGAAATTAAGTTTCATAAAAATCAGTTTCTCAATCATCACCCCCCACCAAGCCTGTAAAAAGAGAACACGAACTAACTCTTAGGTCGGACAATGTTTTTCTCTTTAGATACACCTTAAGGAAGGAAACCTACCACATGGCAGTCCTGGCAATCCAAATTTTTTTTGTTTGCTGGTATTATCGTAAGAAACACCTAACTCTGAACCAAAGAGTTTAATTGACATCTAATTGATGTTACTATTTGCTGATGAAGTTGAAATCTTTTTTGGTAAAATAAAATTTAATTACATACAAATTATAATCAATACACCAAGGAAATTTATTAATAATTTACATCATTATTTAATTGTTAATTACAAAAATTTATTCATATTACAATTAGTATTGAGAAAATTATGTTTCTCCATTGATAATTTAATGTTCCTTTAATATAAATAACGTCTTTCTTTCATTAACTTAATTTACATTTTCAACTAGTGTAATTCTCGGCTTCACTGTCAAGTACTCGTCTTTGGCTCGCGCGCTTTCTACGCCTCGAACTATAAAAGACGAGTTTGAAATCATTTTCCTCCCGAGTTGCACATACTATTTTTTCTAAAACACGTATACCTACCGAAAGCAGAAACTCGGTAGTTTGGTTGTTTCTTTTTACTGGTGGTGTGCTAGACGTTTGAGATTCACCACTGGTTATACTTTGATTAATATTTTGTATCTAATAATACCACCACCTAGAGGAAATAGTACATTGTGTAACACCTGAGTTTAAAAAAACGCCATTTGAAACTGTTATAGTATAGTATACTATAGTGTAGTATACTATGCTTTGCAGGAAAGAGTGCAGGAAAGTACACTTTCCTTCATTGAGTGCGGAAAAATACACTTTTCTGCACTCATTTCAAAGCACAAAAATCGACAACTTTCTGTTGCATTTACATTAAAGTAAAGTATCACTTTTCTTGCAGGTGTTACACAAAATTACTTTTCCACCCTGTCCATGACGTCACCGGGAAAGGTACTTTCCCTTCCTTCACTCCTGAGAAATTGTGTACTTTCAGTGCGTGTGTTAGAAAAAATTTCTACTAAAGATATAAATGTACCTCTATACCTTCAGTCTTTATTTCAAGACTTCGGAAAATATTTCTTCACGTGTACATGTACTTCTAAATGTTATACGTTTATGTACATAAATTTCCAACTGAATACATTCATTTAAAAAATACCTGTTTTCTATATAACATAAGAAAAATTAAAAGACTGATTATTATAAAAGCACTAGCTGCACCCAAAACAATTGTATCAGTTTGATATATTGCAGTGTGCACATCTGTAAATATTTCTCTTTGTTGCAAAACAACAAATCTGCTTTGAAAAGGTTTCGTAACCGTTTTGTGATTAAAACGTGAAGTTGTTGCATCGGCCACGTGCCCTAAGAGAGAAAAGTTCTGTGACCTAATTAATTCTTCTAAATGAAAAGCCACATCCACTTTATTTGATCCGATGATATCAAAAGTCAAAACAGCTGAATCATAATTTATTAGAATTTTAATTCCATATTTAATTTTAGCTCCAAATCTTTTTAATATATATTCTGCTTCTTGTGTTAAACGATGTTCTTCATTAGGAAGAAACTTTCCAGGAAACTGAAGTGTCACCTTTATGGTTTCAATGGATATTGGTACTGAAAAAAAGAATATTTACTTTATAATCTTCATATTATAAACAAGCTTGGGATGGGGAATTATAAATGCAGATGTACATTACATACCCAGTAAAAAAGTATTGAGTGGAGCCTTTAGGAATTGGAAGTAAGCATGAGCCAATACGGATGTATGTAAAAACCGTATTGGGATGTTTGACTCAATCTTTTTTTCGTCTACCGAATACGGCCCTCTTTTAACATTTAAATTAAGATTATATGAACAGAGTACAGAGTACACATCATAAATTGAAAGCGCAATTGTCCTGGAATATAAAAATGACGATTTCGAAATGAAACAATGAAAAATTATTAAAAAGTGGTAAAAGCAAAATTTTACAGACGTGACTGCATTTACCACATGAATCAATGAAAAACGTGAGGTTTAAATGGAATAACAGGAATCTACTGTACTGAATTTACTGACTATCTAAATATAGTGGCTCATGTGATCTTAATTTCAATGCTAAAAAAGGACCGTATTCGGTGCGGTGGACAAAAAAAAGATTGAATCAAACGCCCCACACTGAAAAAATAGATATTTAAGGTAAATATCTAGATGTTAAAGTTTAATATTTTTATTCTTTAACATAGGGACCACTTGGGACAGCTATCTAGATATTAAAAGTAAATATCTGGATGTTACCCGAGTCGAACTTTTAGACCTGCTTACATCCTTAAAACTGAGGGTTTTTAAGGATGTAAAAGGATGAGATCAGAGTTTATTTGCATTGCAAGTTAACTCTGATTACCTCCTGCAAACCCCTGGTTAGCGACAAATTTAGATGGTAAAAGAGGGAAAGCAGGTGTTCCTAGAACCTTATTAAATACTGCTTGACCCTTACTTACAGAATTCTACCCTCTCCCGAAACCCTGAAAAAACTGCTCATAGCATATTTTAGATTATTATTAACTAATTTTTATAATTAAAAATCAATTATTAATAAATGACATTATTATTTAATGATTTTTACTTTTTTTAATTTAATCATGACCAATAGCAAATTCATAATTAATGTTAGTATATATGTGGGGATTAATACATATCCCTTTATATATAAATATAAAAAAAATTTTAAATTAAATATTTGTTAATTAAATTATTTAACGTTGTATATAATCATTAAATTGTCTACTAATACCTATACAATACAGAAAAATCGGAATAAACGCAAACCTACGAAATAAATATAATCTAACGCACGCGAGACTTGAACCTATACGACCTACGAACTACGGACTACGAAACTAACGCCCTAACCACTATGCTACGGAACCTAACTGAACACAGACGCTTTATTTTCAGTGACTTGTTGAGTTATTGATTTTAGTGATTCAATAAAGCATTTATTGACACTAATACACTACATCAAATAAATAAATTGTTTAATAATAATATTAACAACTTTAATAATATAATAATAACCCATTATTCATAAATTAATATTTTTATAATTAAAAAAAAATGTCAAAACATTTAAATGTTAAAAATAATATTTATAAATAAATAATAAAAATGATAGTTGTTGTTTGCTTTTTTGTTTCTAAACTTTTTTATAATTTTTCTTTTCAAATAATTTTAATTTTAAATTTAATGTGTATTGACAATCTTCGAATAGTTGCAAAGAATTTTATCAAAAAGTTTGATAATAATAGAATTCCTTCAAAGAATTTCTTTATTTAAAAAGAAAACTAAATTCTCGCAAAGAATTTCATTAATATTTTTAAAATCCTAATTAAATTCTTTTGAAGAATTTCTTTGAATTTTTTTTAAATTAATGGAGTTTCTTTAATAATTTTAATTGAAAATTTTGAAAGCAATTGAATTTTATGAAGAAGAATTTTATTAAAATTGTATTGAAAATGATTGACCATATGCGATGAATTTTACTATTTATAAAAATAATTAAAATGTTTCAAAGAATTTATTAAAATTTTAAGAAATAATTAAATTGTTTTGAAGAATTTTATAGAAATATTTAAAAATCATGACATTTTTTCGTGAAATTCAATTAAAGTTGTTTCGAAAACAATTGAATTTCTTAAAAGAATTTTATTATTCTTGTTGAAATTGAATTTTTCGGAAAATTTTGAAAATAATTAAATTCTTTTGTTTAATTTTATTTAAATTGGATTAAAAATTATTTAATTTCTGCAAAGAATTTTATTATTTATCAAAATAGTTGAATTGTTTCGAAGAATTTATTAAAGTTTTAGGAAATAATTGCAATTTATGAAAATATTTAAAAATATTTGAATTCATTCAAGGAATTAAATTAAAATAATTGAATTCCTGCAAAGAATTTTACTATTTATAAAATGAATTGAAATTTTCAAAATAATAAATTTTGTAATTTGCATAACAATAATAAGTTGAATATCTTGTTCCGCGCGTAACATTTGCTATTGTAAGAATGTAATTGAATCAATACAGGGATTAAGGTTCAATTAGGACTTAAAAAGGAGTTGTCAGAGTTAAATAGAACTTACGCAGGAAGAAAAGAACACCAAGGGTTTCTTAGGTGCAGGTTAGGGTTAAATTATACTTACAAGGAGGTAAGCAGGTCTAAAAGTTCGACTCGGGTAAACGTTAATATCTAGCATGTGATTTGAATATCTGAATATTAAAGTTTAATATTTTTGATGTTAAGAGTTAATATATTTTTTCAATATCTACTTTTGAATATCCAATTTTCTCCGTGCAATACGGTTTTTACAAAAATCAGTATTAGCTTAAGCTAACTCCCAATTCCTAACGGCTCCACTAAATACTTTTTTTACAGGATAAATATTCTTCTTCTCTTTAAGATCATCAAAAAGTTGCTTTCTTGTGGAGAAAACAAAAAACCGCTGTCAAGTTGTACATTTTTGTTATAATTTTGGTGCTCATTTCATAAACACTATGCTTCCTCATAGAAATAATAAAAATATAAATATATGAATAACTTTTTATAAATATGGTACAAGTGATTGAATATTGGGTCAATCAATGTATTTTTAAATACCCTTCAAGACAGTTATAATAATTTAATATAGTTAAACAAAAATTTTCAATCAAAAATGTTGGGAAAATGTTATTTTCTACAATTTTTGGTTTTTAAAATACCAATAATTTCGAAACTTATTATCGAATTAGGTTTGAAAATAGGTCAATCGAAGCGTTTTTGGTATTTATGCAGAAGAAGGACTTTTCCCAATTTTGAAGATAAATGGTTAATTCTTTATGGAAAAGCTTTCATTTAGCTAAAAATGAAACATCAGATGGAGGAAGACGAAAAAGTTGATATTAGGAATGCCAGGGATGGGAAACAAACTTAAAATTATGATTTTTTTTGTAACTTTTTAAATATTGAAAATTTGAAAAAATGTTGTACACAACAGTTGTAGATCTCATTAAATTATGCTTTTTTTGTTCTATGAATTTTTTTCCTAAATTGATTATTTTTCGAGAAAAATGAAAAAAACTGAAAATAACCTAAATTGATTATTTTTCAAGAAAAATGTAAAAAAAATTAAAATAACATAAATAGTATATATTTATTATATATTTCTCATTTACCGACAGTGGTGTTTTTACTGACAGAGAATTCTTTTTCTCCCGCTGTAATAGAGGGTGTGTGTGAAAATCAACCAAAGCATAAATGTTTGACTTTCTGCTGCGAAATCGCAAAGGGAAGTACGTACTTTCGACCGAGGTATAAAGAAAAAATATTTCACGGTGGTCCTAAGCACACTTTAATCCAAAAGTTTCTTCACTTTAAAATATGTTCCATACCTCGAATCTGGACACTTTTCTGAGTATTTTGAGTAAAAATTCAAAATATTTCATCGAGCCGTTTTTAAGGAAGTTCTATCGCTTGACGCAGCTAGTTAAAACAGTAAGAAATATTTAATGATTTGACTCACTTGGTAACGCAAAACGTTTGGCAACGCCGAATTATTTCTAACCTGTGATGAAAATTATTATTTAAATTTCGCGCTCAAATTTAATGTGTATAGTGCATGTAACGTTGCCAAACGTTATAAGTGTTGTTTATATTATCAGATGAAACTTATATTTGGTTTACAAATTGATTTATTGTAAGTCTCACAGGTACCTATTGACAATTGTTTTAACAGATATGTAATTATTGCATATAGGTTTAGTATTTAAAACATTTAGATCAATATCTGTTCATTTAATACTTTGCAGTAAGTAAATATATATGACAAACTACTCAATTCCCATAAGACTCAATGTTAAATGTTGAAATTCAAAAATATTTATAACTTTTTTCATAGGTACCTAGTGGTCTCAAAATTTTAATTACGCCTTTATATTAACTTTATCTAGCTGCACATTAAGTTTTATCAAAATCTGTTCATTAGGTCAATTATCGATAAAACCTCCTTAAGAAAATCGATTTTTAAATAAAAAATGGATTTTTTGTTTTAATGAAAAAAATCTATATAAAAATACTAAGTATTAGGATCAGTGAGGGTAAATCGGGACAAGAGGTGTTGGAGCTTAATTTACAAATTAAACATTAAGTTCTACATTAACATTTCAAGCTCAGATCAGCTACAAGAGATTCTGAGTATTGACAAATTTTTATCTTGACAATTGGCAACAGGATAATTAAAGTTGTCGCTTAATGCAAAAAAAGTTGTAAATCAATGTTCAGACTAGTTCAGTATTTCATCTCGCATTTGAAAAATAAAAAGCTTAAAAATCATACAAATATTTTTTATTATTCCTCATGACTCCCAAAAGAGAAATTCACTTGGATTTTTGATTTTTGTCAATTTAGTTAATAATGACAAGCTGTACTATTTTACCCCAAAAATTTGGAAACTCGGGGATAAATCAGGTCTGAGTTTCTATTACATTTTGAACGAGAGAGAGAGTGAGAGAGAGAGACTTCAAATTCGTAATCAGTGACCCCAAAAACCCCTGAGTAGCGAAATCTAAGCAAATTTGCTTAAATTAAATTAATTAAATT